TAGAGTAAGCTAAAACACTATGAAAAGAAAGAAGGATATGCAACAATTTTCATTTGAAGTGACTTCAAAGCTTCACTTTATTACCAGCATTCGCTGTATTTCCACCAACCTCTGATCATTTTCAACAGACCATTAACATTTTTCATTTTCAGCAGTGCCATGGTTTCACAGTAGGTTTCCAGCAGTACTGTAAGTGGACTGATCTTATTCTACCCTCCCTGTTCCTTTTATTCATTCATCTTTTCTCTCTGCCTCCTCTTTCTCCTCATGGCAGATGTCAGCAGCCTACTCTCCCCTCAGTGGGAACAGGAGGCAGCCCAGTCCCACTCCCGCTTGCGTCACGGAAAGGAGAGAGGCTTCCGAAAGTGGAACACAGATGGGAGAGGCATCCATTGATGAGAACTAAATCCACACAGACTGCGATTGAGGCATTTGACACTGCTGTACTAATGCATTAATGAGTGGTAATGTGAGAGTTAAGATGCAGATGAGTAATGCGAGAGGAAGATTTATTTATTTTTTTACTTATTATTAGTACTTATTTATTTATTTTTGTAACTGATTGGAAATGAATACCTTGTGTTACATCCTGTGCCTTTCAGGTATTTTTTATTGAGTCAAATTTAATTGTTATTTAATGAATTCCATCTTATTGGCCAATGTCTGTCTTGGATCTAAAATAACAATGTAATTTATCAGGCTTAACCAATCATGGGCATCTGTCAGCTGAAGGCAGTGCTTTCTGCAATAAAAGGTTAAGTATTTTTTTTCTTTGCAGTAGCATTCTAAAAATGATTTCATGAAATGCTTTTGTTCTAATTCAGAAACCTGTTACATATGGAGGACTCGTTGAGAGGGTACGACATCATCTGGTTCTCTGAATTGCCATCGCCGTGGCAACCTGATGCACATCCGTATGACATCACAGCTCACTCAGTCAAACAAGCAGGGACAGAATGTGATTTGAGTGTGAGCACCTGCAGTCTACAAGACTCTCTGACCAATTCATTGAACCTTTACACTAAATATTTGTAATTATTTGTTATATTTAATATCTGTGGGAAAAGCCTTTTATTCAGAGAACACATTTTATTCAGAGGACCAAACTGAGCAATATTATAATCACAAAATTGGTGCAAATTTAACATGAAACTAAATTTGAACCTTCTCGGGTTCAGAAAAAGAGATAAATGTTTAGGAAAAACAACATGTCTTTGTCTATTTCGTAATTTTGGAATATTCAGCATTTCAAAATAATCTGTAGGCAGATCAAATTTGGCAGCTTCTCTCTTGCACATGTGTCTATTGCAGCATGTTGTGATGACTTGCTGCTTGTGTCAGTGACAGTAAGCAGGGTGGATCCGTTAATAAAATCTGGGAAGACATGAGCTAATTTAGCAGGCTGAATGAAATGCTTCTTCTGCCACTGTAAGGTCTCTCTCCACAGAATCATCAGCTATGACGCAGGCAATTTCACACACATCCTGCCAGCTGGTAGCAGTGTGGCCCATCCAACAATTCATTTCCTGAACCCTGTCTGCCTTTTGGCAGTATCGTTTCCCCTCTACTAGTCATCACTCCTATAGAAGCTGCCTCCCACATTAGTAAAACTTGAATATGAGCTGCTGGTCAGCAAGTAGAGCACACAGTTAAGGTCACGTACACACTGTGGTGTTGTGGGACTGACAACAGCATTTAAATGCAAGACCGAATGCTCCAAATTATCATTCCAAATGCGGACAGAACAGGGCTGCCATTCAAATTCAACGATTTTTTTTATGTGTGCGCCCGCTCTCCCCAGGGCCTGGAACAGCGCAGACTCCAATAATACAGTTACTCCGAATAACATATTTTAAAATGTATTTTCAAATAAAATAAGTCATTTGGCAGACTTCAAAAGATAATTTTGCCAATTTGCAACCATCTTTGTATTGTTACAATGTGCTGTACACTGTAAAAAAAATTCCGTAAAATTTACGGTGTATACTACCGTAAAATTAATGTCCAATACATGTAATGTCCAATACAGTTTTTCACTGTATATAATAGGGGAATTTACCGTTAACCATTTAACAGGTTTTTACTGTAGCATTTTTACAGTATTTTACCGTTAAATTCACAGTCATTTTTAACAGTGTACGTAAATGAACAGTGTACTTTTTTTTATATTTGAGTTTTTTTTCCCCAGTTTTTTTTTTTGATAGTTTTTTGACTGGGCTGTCACTAATATTCAACCATTTTTTATGTGTGGGCCTCCTCTCCCCAGGGCCTGGAACAGCGCAGACTCCAATAGTACAGTTACTTCAAAAAATATAATTTTAAAATTTATTTTCAAATAAAATAAGTCATTTGGCAGACTTAAAAAAATAATTGTGTCAACCATCTTTAAATTGTTACAATGTGCTGTATATATGTAAATGAACAGTGTACTCTTTTTATATTTGACAGTTTTTTGGGCATTTTTATTAGTTTAACAACTATATAGTTTTAGTTTTAGTTCTTTTAGTACTAAACTACTTCTTTTAGTACTGTAGGCTATATTTTTATATTTTAAATGCCATAGGCCGCATCCAAAATTGCATACTTCCCTACTAAATAGTAGGCCAAAAAAGAGAATGTGACAAAAATATGTCTGAATTCACAGTACTCATAAAAAAGTAGGCAAAAAATACCCAGATGACATACTATTATGAATGGCAGTGAAACAACGCAACTGAAGTTGGTAGGTCACGTGATAATGACAACATGGTGAATGTAATCTGTCCTGATTACTACATGTACACAATCATACTATAATAAACTTTCTTTTTTTTTTTTGCGGACGCAAGGTAATTATTTCTGCAAAACAAGTAGGCTACATACTGTACTCAAGAGAGTATGTGATTTTGGATGCAGCCTTTAATAGCAGGTTTATAGTAGAACTTGAAGTTGTAATTCTAGCTGAAAGCCACACCAACACTGTTTTTCCATGTTTAATACTGTAAATCTGCTTGCTTTAAAGCAGTCTATTATATGCTGTATAAATAAATGTGACGTGACTTGACTGGAGTGCTGAATTGCAGAGCTGGTGCAGACATATTCACATCTGATCAGATGCTTTCCTAACGTTCTTTATTTTTGTTTTCTCACCGTTGTCATTTTTGTTGCGTGTTTTGCTTGTGTTGTTACTAGAGGAAAGCACGCAGCACGTGGCTGATTCTATAATTGGAGATACATTTGGCATTGCAGAAAGTTAAGAAAAAAACTTTTCATTAACAGATTTTTTTTCAGTATCTTATTGAAAACATATATAATTTTAATAATTCAGTGCTTGCCAAACACAAGTTACTTCCTTTTTTTTTTTACTTTTAATGAAAAAAAACAGATGTCTTTATGGTATTGTTTGTCAACTCTGTTACGGACAAATTAGCCAGTGTGTAGAAATAACAATAAATCATAACAGGAAAAATCCTTCTTGTTTCATTAGACAAACAGTCCTTACATTCCATCACTTGAATCTGAAAATGTATTATATACAAAATCCAGTTAAAAAAAGAAATGTTGTTGAAATATTATAAGGGTTCAAAAATAATAAAGAAAAGTACAATAAAATATTTTGATTACACAATGATACATGATGGAAAAAATGCACTGACTAATTCGGACAACAAGAAATCATGGTTTTCAGCTATTTAAGACACTTTTGGCAAAACATTATTATATTGTTATGGACTGTAACATCTTGTAATTCATAACAATGAGTAACACAGTATTAAAATAATTAAAAATATAACCATTTGAAAAAAGCAGAAAAACAATAATGACTTCGGACACCAAATGTACCTGCAATTATAGACTCACTCACATATCTACACAGGCTATTAGTCTAAAGACCTCTCCCAGCAGCGAGAGGCGTCTCGATGTTTTCTAACAGTATACTGCTGCTCAGGTATTTTGAATTTCCTTTTACCCCTATGTGAAGAACGAAAAAGAACTTCACTGTTACACAGCTGGGGCCTTTAGCATCCTCACCGATGGACGGTAATGTTCTGTTTATTATAAGCATGCTACAGTTATGTTGTCTACCGCTTTAAATGCTAGAGCTTTTTATGGTCGCGTGAATTCTGATCGGTTGCCAGTGTCCTGTGTGCCGTTATTGTTATATAGTTGTCATCCTTTACAGTGCATTGAAGGCATAGTTTTTTTTTCAGTATATGCTCCCTGGAAATGGAACATATGACAATGATGTCATTCTCTACTAGATAATTTACAGGTATATTCATGTGCTTGACCTAGCACAACAGGAAAATATTTGTCATACAAAAGTGAACCAAAATGTACAAAATTGATATAATCTACCTATAATCTATCTATAATCTACCTAATGCTATTCTGCAATTCTGCACTGAAAATTTGTCATGAACAAAAAATATATATATTTTTTAATTCATTTTAAAAGCTGATTTATTTTGCAATCCAAACTAGTTAATTAAATTTGAATAATTGGATTTCTGGACTTTTTTTTCTCTCTCCATATAAGAACCGCAGGCCCTGGGGTCACCAGTGGAGAACCGCTTATTAAAAAACAAACAAACAAAAAGCTATTATCTAAAGTAAATTACAGACTTTACAAGTCTTTAACCACTACGTTTTCACCTTTTCTATATCAGTAATAGACTGACCTTAATATTTTGCCTATAGACACTTAATTCATTGTTTTTTGCAGAAGGGGTTCATAGTGGCAATATTGTAATGCATTACTTTTAAAAGTAACTTTCCCCAACACTGGTGATATCCTAGCCACCCCCTATCTGAGTGAACAACTTGAGAGTAGAAAAAAAGAAACAAAAACTTGTATCAATAATTATTTTAAGTATTTTAAATGTGACTTCATTCATTCATTCATTCATTCTTTCTTAAGCTTTTCATGTTCACATATCCACTTTCCATATCTACATGCTAAAGACATACATACATAACATATGTAGAACCACGCTAACCCATAAGCGAAATTACTCGAGTTCCGTCAAAGTCCCGATGACGCACATGACACGGGAAGCACTGGAGCGTCTTCCGGAAACTTAAAGTCAGAGAGTAGCTCAATGTGACATTTCGGAGCGGTTATTTCTGAACTGTTATAGAAGAATAAGAATGTTTCTCACTACAGTAAACCGTGAGTACACCTATAATAATAATATCTACAATAAGAAACTAAACATATTTACAAAACTTCATTGTCAGCATAGCTGTGGGCAAAACGTGTAGACTGCAGAACAGATGCATTGAGTAGTAGCGGCTAATAGCTAACCAGCAGTTTCATGTATAAATGCATAATATTTGTACATTCATAAAATGTCGAAGTTCAACTATTCTTAACTATATACCACAAAGATTTGTTGTAGATGTTACTGGTGATTATGTATTTATATAAACGTACATACGTTACACTGTTATTATATGTCAGTGCTAATTACTTTTTTCTTCTCTCTTTAATTATTTCTCAATCTAGTTGCCAAGAGCAAATCTAAGTGAGTATTCCCACATCTTCATTGCACTTGTTTACATACGTAAAATTGAAACAATTCTGTACTAATATGCAGTATGCACTGCTGCCAATGTGCACTCTTATATATGATACATTTATTACATTTCAAACAGAAAGCATACAGAATAAATTCATTGTCAAATATTGCTATATGTTTTGTTGTTGAGCATACAATTGTTAACTTTGATTTGTTGTTGAACTTTGATAGCAGTTTATTTTGGTAGGTCTTGATAAAAATAGTTTCTGTTGCTTGGTTTAATGTCTTGTTTTAGGACAGACACATTGAAGTCAGTGCTTTGTACTTACCTCTGGCTTCTTGTGTTTCAGGACATTGCTGGTTCAGATGGTGAGTGCGGCGGGCACAGGTTATTGTTTTAACACGAAGAGGGGCCGATTGAGGGACAAACTGGTTTTGCGAAAGCATGACCCTATAGGTGAGGTGAACAATCCATTTAGTTCATGTTTACTTTTACTATATAGATTCTGTTTTCATCAAAAGTAAGCCAAACTAAGTGGATAATGTGTTTTATGTCATTGAAAGTATAATGGCAAACACTGAATTGATTTCCTGATATGATGATCACTTTGAAAGGGACCAGTTGTATATATTCATGTAAACCACCTCTTTAGACTGTGTGAGATATAGTTATTTTACACATTTTAAAAATGACTTAATTGTAAAAATAAGTTTAAATCAGTTTCTATTAAAAACATTCACTTTGTATTACTTTGACAGCTTGCGTTTCCTACCCACTGTTAATTTTAAGACAAATAAACTAGAAACTTGTTCATTAAAAGAAAACGGAAACCTTTGAATTAAAATGTGTACATATACTAGGGCTGCACGATAAATCGCATGCGATATTTAACGCGCATCTTATCAGTAAAGCCGTTCTGTAATCAGCGGTAAATCTCCACCACGTGCATGCTTTCACATTGAGCAGCATTAACTACACAGAGCCGTTGTTCACTGACGAGCTGCGCAAAACCACGTTCATATTCGCGTGATTTTTTGCGCAGCTCGTCATTGAACAACGGCTCTGTGTAGTTAATGCTGCTCAATGTGAAAGCATGCACGTGGTGGAGATTTACCGCTGATTACAGAACGGCTTTACTGATAAGATGCGCGTTAAATATCGCATGCGATTTATCGTGCAGCCCTAACATACACCAATATTTGAAATAATTATCATTCCACAGTAGTGGTCGACCGATATATCGCCAAGGCCGATATATCGGCCGATATTTGGCATTTTTAAAATATCGGCATTGGCCGATAAGTTTCTGTTTGGCCGATGCGTTCGAGGCGGGACTTTTATTTTGATGGCGCTGAGAGCGGCAGTGCCTGAGCACACAGTGCTCACATTCTCCCTCTTGTTCGCCGTCGTCGTTAACAGTTCTGTCTAATACGGATAGAAGTCTGTCTAATAATCAGATAGAACGGTTAAACAAAGGAATTAAAATGTATACAAAAAGTATGCGTTTAAGCTTTATTTGAAAAAATATGATTCCCAGTGCACACAAATTTCCCAGAATACTGAGTGCTCTGTTGGTTACAGTTTACTTCCTTTTTAATTATATTTTATTAAATATTTATTTATTTGTGGAAAATACTTTGTCACCTAAAGTATAAGTATGTTTATTTTACAAATTTATTTTTTAATCCATTTTCAAATTATTTCAAATTTCTTAAATATGAATTAAAATAAATACAATTATATCGGCTTTATATCGGCCACCCTGCTTTCCAAGATATCGGCATCAGCTGTCAAAAAACCAATATCGGTCGACCACTATTCCACAGTCGTTTTACAGAGAATATTGCCTAGTGAGCATGTCCATCACAAGAAACACTTCTAAATAAATATTGGTAACACTTTACATTAAGGTTTAATTGGTTACATTAGTTAGCTACATTACTTAACATAACCCAAAATTAACATTCTAAAATGATATTACTTATTAATCTTATTTAGTTAATTTCAGCATTTACTAATATATTTTTAAAATCAAAACTGTTAACATTATATAGTGCACTGTGTCTAACACGAACAATTGTATTTTTGGTAAGACTTAATGTTAATAAAAAGTATAATTGTTTATTGTTTGTTCATTGTTCACAGTGCATTAATTAATGTTAACAAATACAACTTAACTTCAAAAAAAGTATTAGTAAATATTGAAATTAACATCAACTATTATTAATAAACACTGTATAAGTATTCATCATTGTTATTTTATGTTAACTAACTAATGTTAACAATTGAGACGTATTGTATAGTGTCACCTAAATAGTTTTCCATACACTTATATGAAGGTTTAGTTTTTATTTTTTCTAAGACTGTCATTAGACTAAATAATTGCTACCTTTTAATTTGCCTTTAAAAAGCAGAAAGACAATGCAGTCATATTTGGTAAATATGTTAAATATTGTGTTACACATATTTAATAAATATATTAATTTAACATGCTACCTATGACCACCCTTCAAAATGCACTTTATAAAATATTTTTTCTCTCAAGTGTTCTGTGGACACTAGATTGAAATCCACCGAGGTCATGTACTCTTAAACGATGACAAAATAGACCTTCGATATGTTGTGCTCCGTCAACACAAAGTATAAAATTATGTTTGTTTAACCGTTTTGTGGGGTCTTTAAAATAGATTGTTTTATTAATGATTGTAATGTGTTGTTTTTTTTCTGTTCATATGTCAGTTAATGTTTTAATGTTTACTCTCCACAGTGAACAAACATGTTCTGTTCATTGAGAAGAGGAAGATACGTTCTCTTTAAAAATGGGAGACTCTTTTGATACAGACACTGAGAAAATTGACTTTTTAAAGTGTTACTGGCATAAAACAACTGCCACAGTGTGATGGTCAACATCCAACATATGAAAGTGTCACTAAACAACTATGAAGGAAGAAGATTTACATCAAAGTAAAGGTTTTGCATCACTGCAGCTGTGGATGACTGGCCTAATGAGACCAGAAATCAGTTGTATATCTTGTCAGGATAATATGTGTTGTGTTGGATTTGTTTGGTTCTTTTGTTTTCTTTTTTTGTACCAAGTCAGAAGTTTGACCTACTGCAAACAATGAACCACCTACTCAATGACAGATTGCTTCAGGCTGAAGTGGATTTGTTGGAATAATTAGCCTGCAAAATGTGTTTAATAGAAAAAATGTGTTCATAAAAAAAAAAAACATTCAACCATTAGACTTGTCCTTTTTGTAAATTGATATGGTTTTACTTTATTTTCAGAGATATTTGAACATCATACCATTTACAAATAATGCCAGGAAATTACATTATCTAGAACTCTCCAGGAAAATGGTTTTGTTTATTATACAAACAATAATTCTGTGGACACTGTGCACAGATTAATGGTGTTGTTTTTAGGTCAAGAGTCGCCTTCAGAACAGTTCAGTTGGCAGATCCTTCTGAAATGGAAAAGACGTTTGAGTGCCGACAGTTTGTACAGACATGGCTGCGACGAGGTTGGCTCTTCTGGCCATCTCTTCCAGCGGCATTGTGGGATAATGGGCCATGTAGAAAGCCAGAGCGCCAATGAAGCTGTCGCCTGCTCCCTGTTAAGACATATTTTTTCAATTCAGTTTGTGGCATTTGAATGAATGCTCATAATGCGGAAAAGTAGAACACTGAACTTTTCATCACCACTTAGAGAAACAAATATGACAGCAGGGGGTGCCGTCTACTTTTCAATGCCAGTAGGTCCAAAGGTTTGTAACTTGCAAAAGAAATTTGGGAAACAAATGGCACCACGATGTACAAATTTTATTGAGTCAATCTTAAAATAAATATTAAACTACCAATTGTTCCGGATAATATTTAATGATGATGGCATGACTTTAATTCTCTATTTGTGTGCTGAGTCATTTGTGTTTGCCGTTGTGCAATGCATGGTGAGTAAGTCTGTAGATGCTGACTTGGGCACAGGTCACGGGTCAGAGTGAAACAACACACATGCTTTAAGCTTGCCTTGACCTCTGTCAGTGGTGTAGGGTCACCTCCTGTCTTGAAGTCTTTGTGAAGGTCTTCTGTTGTGAGTTGTGCACTTGCTGAGACCTGCAGTGTGACATTATTTGTGTGTGTGCATTTTTATTTACTCTCCTACTTCGTAATTACTCAGTGAATATTTATTGTTGGGTGATTCTCATGTAGCCTGACAATATGTCCAAGCCATGACTAGACTCAAACTCAAAAGTACAAAATGTAATGCATTATGAAAATGATATATATAAAAAATTAAATAAAAACATCTATTTAAAAAGAGAGAGAGAGATTTAACCATGTATAACCACACACACACACACACACACACACACAATAATAGAAGTCTCCCATGCTCACCAAGGCTGCATTTATTCGATTACAGTAATTATTGTAAAATATTACTGTTAATATTACATATTACAGTAAAAACAGTAATATTGTGAAATATTATCTTTTAAATAACTGAATTCAATCTAAATCCATCTGAAACCAAAAATATGTATATATTTTAAGAAACTGACCAAGGGGAAATTTTGTTTATTTATTTAGGGACATTCTTTTTTCCAAGTCAGGAGTAATACACACTAAGCTGCCTTTATTTTATCTCCACTTGTATGAAATTGATAAGGACACTGGCATGTTTCACCATGCCTGCAGGGGGTAGACTGGGATCTTAGGGGGAGGGGTGATGTCGGGTGTTGAATTTATGATGGGAAAGCACCGAAGGATGCAATGATGTGCTCAGATTTAACCGCAGATCGCCCTGTCACTGGTTCTCACAAGTCTACCAGATTACTCATCTCAATGGCCCGCCTCTTAACCATCTATCCCTATTACACACCGCTGACTGTCCCTTCGGTCTCCATATAGCTAGCCACTAGGCCAAAGGCTGCAGTTGTCTAAACTCCCCTGCTGATTGATGACTGAATGAAGTGACCTATGCAGACAAGAATCCATTACAAAATGATCACAGTCCAGCTTTGCCCAGTCATGCAAGTCATGCATTTTGTCTGTTTGGGTGAATGGAAGAACATCTGCAATTGGACACATGGTGTGGTCATGAGGAAAGTTCTGGAAAAAATTCTCATGGAATTTAGGTAATGTCTCCACCTTCTTCAGATGAAGGCTAAACCTTCCACCCACCTCTCTTACTCAAATAAGATTCAACAATGGTGATATTTTTGCTATAGGTCATAACGTTGGTCATAGTGGCAGTTCCTACTTTTAAATGTATTGCTGGGCAGCACAACTATACATAGCTATTGAAAATAATAATAAAATCACATAATCATATGTAGAGAGCAGTTCAGTTTGTAGTCCTAAAACTTTTTTTTTGTAGAATACAGATGAATTGTACATAATAAAACCAGTGGTCCTGGAGATAATAATGTGAACAAGGAAATTAATAGGATTGATTCTAAATGCATGGTGAAGTCAGTTGTCAATGTGATACTAAACTAACATCTAATTTGGTGCTAGTCCATGATTATGGCCATTGGAGTAAAAGCATGGGAAAACTGAATGGTCACCACAGTTGGAACAACATTTTATCACAACAACAATGTACATCTGCAAGTCCACTGGTTAAATACAGTAAAAGTCTCCAAAAACAATGGAAGGAGTGGATGACTCGCAGATGATGTGATCAAGATGGCATCCAGAAATTCAATGCCGAAAATGTCCATCTGTGGTAACTGAGTGAATGACCAGTGGGTGGGTTGCACAAAGTCAAAACATAAAGACAGCCTAACAAACACTGTTATTCTGTTGCGGATCACAAGCCATCAGAATTTCCAAAAGGTTGGTGTACCATAAAAAGTGTTTTTGACGGCAAACCTAATGATGGTCCGAGAGACATACAGTACAACCTTCAATGTTTGTTGATGGTCAAATCTCTAATCTTTTATAAACACACTTGGGGGTCTAAGATGTCGTCTTGTGTCACCACAGCATATGCTGCTAGGATATGTTCCCTCAAAAGAATGACTGCTGTCCAATGCGACTCAGTGTGGGATCTTTGTGGGCTTCATTTAGTCTCTTGGTGTGATGACATCAATGTTGGTTGGAGGCATGCAGTGTTTTCCGGTAAATACCCACCACCTTCTCCTGTAAAGATCCCTGTGGTGGGTCCTCTATGACTCTTTTCATAGCGGTCAAGTTTGGCTGATTGTGATTGTCTGAAACAACTACAAGCCGTGTTGTCTGGCTTGAAGGCAAGTTTCTGGAATTGGGTTGACCTCCAAATGCAAGAGCACAGGCCACCCACCATCCATCTGAACTGAGTATGCTGTAGGTTAGACAACTTGGTCTCTGTGAGCACACATACGTAGGCTACAGATAGAATCACTTAAGAAAGGGTTGGTCAGTTTAAGATACATAAAGGCCTTTGTAAGATTTATAGAGGAAAGGGATTCATCTTAGAATGGGTGGGTAGTCACACAGAGGAAAACTACTTACTTATTTGCCCTTTCAAATTTGCAATAGTGTCTGCCGTGCTTTTCATGTAATGCCATACCACACAGCTTTTGATCACAGAAGAGGTGTCTAGCTGATGTGAAGCTGTAAAGACTGCCAAAAGATCTTGAGACTTTTAACTTGAGACTGCTTCGTGTCCAAGAGAAAGGATTCCTTGGTTGTGAGTTCACACCGGTGCTGTCACTTTGAGATGTGTATAATGTCCCTATCTGGGAGCCAGAAGCTAAGTACAAAGTTGGTAAACTTAGTATAGGCTTAGATCTCTGCCACAATTCTGCGAGCGAAAGATCATATTTTGAGCGCACAAAAGTGCATTTTGCACACGCGCGATCTGAGTTTTGTGGAGAAAATGTTCGTTTTGCAAAGAAAAAAGTATTTTGAGCGCACGAAAATCCATTTTGCATTTAAAATACGTTTTTGGATGTATGCAGACCTTCTCTTTTGCGCGTGTAACGTTTCACTGGCTTGCTCCCTTGATGCCCGTCCTCGGTGCTCCCTAAATGCCAACAGCTCGCTTGCTCAACAGAACCCAGCGTTACAAAAAAAAAAAAAAAAA